GCACTGCTTATTTCTGCGTGAAGCAGTAATGCGTTTCGGTTTGAAGGGTGGGGCAGCCGTTGTAGCTATACTGAGTCCTTAGAACTTATATCTCAAGGTGGGTGGCGCATTTACGTTGTAGATGTCTATGGGCTCCAGTAACTACTTAACGCTAGCTAACGTGGGCTGTGAGCTCGTCAACTCATCTAAGCAATAAAAAAGGTGCCATGTACCTTGCGTTGTATTATGAACACGCTGCCGACATACATTACCGAAAATTGTATAGATTTACGATGAACGAGGTGAACGCCATCTCTGCTGAATCCCCTGCCCGCGCCGTCGGACTCCCCTCCCGAGAGCAGTGGCCATGTCACGGCGCTTGTAGAATAGGATCTCATCATTCAATACGCACGCAAAATGTCGTGTCTGTGCTGTAAACTGATGAAGAGTTCCTTTGTCTGGTCCAATCTTGGATATGGATTCAGTTCATGCGTCCCATGGATGTGCAATAAGCAAAAAATAATCGTAGAATAGAAGGAAGTGGTTCTAATACAGCTTGTAATGTGTCACCCGTCCAAACATTGCAAGTTGACTAGAAGATTCCAAACATCGGTGCCTGGCCGCGTCGCTCCGTGCGGGCACGCCGGGCTCCTTGCCCATTACGCCACGGACGTACCGGAAACTCTGAAATCAATGATATTACACATTACACATTATTGGTGTCTTGTATTTATTTATGTTTCGATCACGTATCTGGATGCGCGGTCAGCACTCGGACGAGCCAGACTCCGCAGCGTAAATACCGCGGTCGAGCTGCTTTCTGTTACAATAATCAAATCGGACAAGTGTGTCGCGTAAAGCACGGCTCTGGGTTCCGTAGATGAACAGTTTTTAAAGTCACCTAAGATATCACCTCGGACTTAATTTTGTTGTAGTTTGTGATACGGTTCGAACGTGCAATAGAGAAAATAAGCTGCTTATCTAGAAATACATAATGTTCCTAGAACTAAGTTATTGTTGTAGTTTTTGAGTTGGTATTCATTTAATCAAAATCACAACAACGACCTAGCAACTAGCGGACACCTTGTATGAATGCACTCGGTCGCGTGGTGCAATTATACTCTCAATGTTTGAATTGTGACTGATTGCGTTTAGACTGTGAATGCGGGAATGTTTCACTCGACTGTGAGGATATTGAAGGAGTTTCACTCGATCTGTGTCCCGCTATTAACTGATTGGAATACTATTGTAACGCTCTAACCGAGAGACTCTAATCCAATATTCCCATTTTCCCGGAACAGGCAACGGCCGTCTTTATTAACGTTTTATGTTTTTATTACGGAACCCTGAACCATATTAGAGGTCATGGCTAAAATCGGGTGGAGCTTCCAGGGCAGAGCCCTGCCCGACGTGAGCTGCGACCGACCGACAGCTTAGTGCCGATGACGTTGAGCTCGCGATGATCTCTGTATGTGTGGCGTCGTTAAAAACCACCAAGGGATACAGCCGGGGAGGGGTTGCAGAGTTCTCTTCAATTTTGAGGCTTGAGGTTAAAAATCCAATTGTAGGTACTACATACCAGTGCAAAGTGGACGGTACATACATTGTTTGGTATACCATTACCAGTCGCAGAATCAGGGATAGAGAGCAGAGGGCGGCAGCCCGGAGTGTTAGCTCATAATATTGTCAAAACGTCGATTCCCCCTACGGGGAGTACCCGGTGTGATTTTGTTTATTGTTGAACAAATATTTTTGACAAAGTGAAATATGTCATTTTTCGCACATCGCACGAAGATCAATCTAAGAATCACTCCAAGCAATTATTAATTACTTGTTGTTTTTTATGTCTCTTTTTTTAGCTTGTAATGTGTACTTTGTACCTACCTCATAAATAAATAAATAGATCTAAGGCTCGATACGTAGAGAGCAGGTAATCTTCTAGAACATGGGTCGTCAGTTGCTAAATTACTTTGTCGTGGCTAACTCGTCGGCGACCTCAGCGCCTGCCTCATGTTAAGGGTTTGTCGAAGTCCATGGACATCATTACAGCAATAATAGCAACTGCCCACACTGAGGTTTTAACTCGAAGATCGGTTGGAGTAGACAGAACACAATATTCCGATAATCTAAGGACCCATCTTAGGAACTGTTACTCCAATGCACGCGAGACTCCGACACACCAAAGATTTAAAAGATGATGAAGGACACTTCATGTTATGTTGAATTGTTAAAAGATAAATCATATTATTAGATGTTTGTTGACAGTTAATAATAACACGACAGAGCATCACGTGTGTCACGCGGAGCGATCTATACATCATCGTAAACTTGTGAATTCTCGGCTCAAACAAAAGCTACGTATGATGTTTGCGGTTCTCATTTGTTTCGTGTGATCTCAGTGTCGCAGGGTGCGGTGGGGACCCACAGCTAGCTATTGCCGAGCTGCTAGCGGGGGCGGGAAGATATGCTTTAGGTTTCTATACATTTAATAATTTGGCATATAAACCATTTTGTACATAGCACAGAACGCCACTGAGGAAATTGAACAAAATTGTGCAAGATTCCTCGCGTTAACATAAGACTTCCACGAAATCCATTAGAGAATAAGCCAGTGTTGGTGCTGATTACTAAGTAAAAAAAACTCTAAGAAGTTAGCTTAATGTTAGCAGCCTTAGGAGGATTCGGAACCGCCGAAGGAAGCTCGGGGAGATCACGTGTAGGGGTCCGTGGGTGCTCCCTCGACTCCGTTCGACCACTGAACAAAAATAGTGTGTGGATTACGTTCTAATTGGCGGCCGAGGACGCGGGCTGTTCGCTTCGTTTCCGTCACATCGCTCTATTGTTGTCACACCGGTCTGTCAATAGCAGAGCGTCGCGTTCAAGCTCGGTGCTAATGGACGTCAACAAACCCGCACACGTAGACCGATGAGAATTTCCTTATAAGGCCCTAAGGAATACTATGCATATTGCGTCGAGAGTGGAACATGTACGGACGGTCTCGGGGGCAACTAGATCGCTGTCATCAAAAGGATCGCTAATAATGACCTGAAATTTCACTTTAGAAATACGGTTAGCAAGCAATGTACTTCACGATCTTGCTGGTTTACTGGTATAAATGGGTGGATGAGCTGCCGGACTATCTGGTAGGTGGTAACAGATGTTCACAGTCACTGCGCCGAGAAGGGCACCACGCTTTGATTCATCACGTCAAATTCTCCTCCTGTGCAACCGCGTGTGCTCGGTCCCTAAGCGTGGGTTGCAGTCAAAAGAAAAGGCGCAGGAAAGAGTATTTATTATTCTTCTCGTTTTGGATCCAGGGTTAGGGATCTGGCCCAAATCCTAATCTCCTAAATTTTTATTATTATTTTTATTGCTCTTGTAGGTAGCCCAGTATACGGTCCACCTGATGGTGAGCGGTTACCGTGGCTCATGGACGTCAGTAATGCCAGGGGCAGAGCTAAGCCGCTGCCTACCGTTAAAAATGTTTCGAGTCCCTTCCTAAGCCGGCTATAACCAAGAAAATGGCGGCTTGCTCTACACGCTTCCTGCATACCACAGCCAGGAGACGGATCACTGCATTCCCCGGCCCACGCTGGGTCTAACCCTGCGTAGTGTCCCAGTATACGAATTGACGGCGCCGCCCGAGGGCTCCGGATGGCGCATCCACCGAGAGTCCTGTCGGTCGTGGCGCTAAAGTCTACCGGCCTAGCCCGATAACTACCAGCGTCTCGTGGTGGGGAAAGATGCATTCCGCACGAAACGGTACAGCGCGCTCCTCGAAGCGGATTCGAATCCCGGACATCGGGGCTGCATATATTCTGATCAGTTCCGATATTTCCATTTACTATATATTTTTTATGTTTAAAATGTTGAATTCTTAAAATCATGAGTATTATATGAAACAAAATGGCAGCACAAACAATATTATTCTACTTAGTAAAAAAAATCTCGAATATGACTATCCGGGAAGGAAGCGAGACAATATATACACGTAGGTGTGAATAGCCGCGTCGCTAGCGTTTCCTCTTACAGGATTGAAAACTAATATAATATATCACAGCAGGAGACATTGGCGGAGTTCACAAACAAACTACCAACGAAGTAAGAGTGTCTGTGTTCTTTCTGTTTTCGTTCGCAACAAGTTTAACTCTTTAGTGTCCTAAGAAGCTTTTACTAACGACCACGTTTGAAGGAGTGAGTGGTATCACGTACTGTTTGTTTACAATGGCACTATAAGTACTAGTAGGTAGGTATACTAAATACACATCTTAATGAAAACATGAACATTTGATTGTTGGATCTCTGACCGATTAGCGACATTTAATAATTGCCCCTGTCATCTATATCTATACTATACTAATCTATACTTAATATTATAAAGAGGAAATATTTGTTTGTTTGTTTGTATTGAATAGGCTCTAAGCTACTGAACCGATTTGAAAAATTTTTCTGTTTAGACGCTACACTATCTCCGAGTGACATAGGCTATATTCTTTTTTAACAAAAATTAGGGATCCTTACTAAAACTCCAATTATGTAACCCAAGGTGTAAAAAACTTACCTAAAATATTATTTACATCGCGTGTGCGCAAAACTATTGATAATAGATTAAAATAATGTACTATAGCTTTGTAGAACACATTATTATTTACAGAAAGTGTCACGACAGCATATATCTAACTATTATAGTTATGCCACAATAGGTGATCTTTTATTTAAAATAAAACAACGTCAAATATCATTTACAGGGAAGCTCTAACTTAGTAAACTCAATGGTTTTTGTATTTATGACCTCATTACGAAAATAAAATAAAAAATAACATAAAAATAATAATAAAATATCATTTAAAAAAAAATAAAAAATCATTAAAATAATAATATTCAAACTATGTTTATAATTTTCTGTGTATTTTTTATTTTGAAATTTTTGTTAAAGAACCGAGCGAAGCCTGAGCGGGCCGCTGGTTTTCTATAAGGTGATATTGATTATTTCATATTTTGTACTAAATTGTTTCTTTTAGGTTATTGAACATGGTACCCCGTCCAGTGTCTCCGTATGCACGGGAGCCTCTCATTCCGCAGTTTTACGCTGGGAAAAGCATATTCATAACAGGAGCAACCGGTTTTATGGGAAAGGTAAGTTGCATTTGTTGTAGCGCCATCTACCGGGGAATAGATGATGTGTTCTTCAGTCGATTCTTCTGTTCAATTATTATGTTAAAATGAGTTCTGAACAACCTTAAACTAGAATTAATTGTATTGAACGATAAAACTATCAGCGAATAATTGTCACATGGCTAAAAAAAGCGGAGCTCGTCCAACCATCTAAGCAACAAAAAAAAAAAAACGATTCTCACCATCTATCGCTGTAAAGTTTAACAATGCTTATGATGAATAAATTGTGTATTAATAATAATTACTTTAAGGTACTGGTGGAAAGATTACTATGGACGTGTCCAGAGATCGAGCGCATCTTCCTCCTGATGAGAGAGAAGAAGGAAGTATCGCCAGAGAAGCGGCTCGCACAGCTCAAGCAGTCACAGGTAGACCCGGGGGGGCGGGGTTGGGGGATGGGGAGAGACACGTTCGTCTACCCGTTTACCTGTACTGTAATTATGATCTCTAAACAAACATACTTAAATACTGCTTTCTTTCCCTACCTATTCGTTGGTAGCTAGCGGGCTATTCCAGCTAAGCCCGGATAAGTAGGTGAGTTCACGGGCTCAACCTCAGCAAATTTGCTAACACTAGCCCTCGTAAGAGCAGTGCTTCGCTGAACCTGCCATCGTATCGGAATCGCGACCCACTGAGAAGATCCGGCAAGAAACTCAGTGGGCTTGGGTTAGATCACACAGGTCGATTACGACGAAGAGCTCGACGAGGACGGTGCCCGGTGCTTGAGGGTCCTAAAAGTACCGAGAGAGGATCTGGGGGTCCGGCAAGATGTTAAATACTGTGTACTGTAGTTTCCAACGCCTACATCCAGACTGAGTCTTACATCATATTATATAAATAAATATTAATAATTTCAGAACATCAATAAAGCATATCAAATAATTGATCAACGTGTGGGATGACGATGTCGCGGACACAATATTCTTTGCCGTTTCCGAACTCCTCGCTGTTCATGGTCACAATATGTAATTTTGGCGACCAGATTAAATTCTATAAGTCAAATCTTATAATGATAGATTAAATTCAAAATGAATAATGATTTATGACTCCTATCAAAATGTTAATATCACGAAATAAAACGTATCGCGGATTTAAATATATTTATTTTCAAATGTAGTGTCGGCTTCGCGTTGTGATTTTTTTTTTTCTTACCTATGCTGGTAGCCTTGAGAGGCTATTTCAGCTTCACCCTAACGTGTGTACGCGCGTTTGCGTGTACTTTTACGCTATCGAGAACGTTAAAAACTCGCACTAAGCACACTGGAGGCTATAGACATTAGAACGTAATGTTAAGTTTCTGCGAGGAATAGTTCGGCAGGTGACGTCACAAGACGGTGCAGCTAGCGGCTGCGGTGTCCGGGGCCGGCAGTCTGACGACATTTACGATCAGACTGTCGGCCCCGGACACCCCCGCCCGCTCGTCTGTGTTGTCGTCATTGCGCGAGGGCGCCGCTACAAGCGGGCCGTCAACTCGTCAACTTCGATAACAATATAAAAGAGACTTTAATTACAGGTATTTGACGTGATCAGAGAGTATTGTCCGGGTCAGCTGGAGAAGCTGTACCTGATCCCGGGCGACACCACCGCCCCCAACCTCGGTCTCAGCGTGGAATCCATTGGTCTACTGAAAGAGGTTACTGAGTATTTGTGTACTTTCTTTTTGTGTTACTAATACACTTAAGTATATTAATAAGTCTTGTGATGTCCGGTACTTTCATATCGAGCGATGCGACGGTGTTCGGATCCCGCAGGCGGATACCAATTTTTCTAATGAAATAATAGGGGTTAAAGTATGAAATTGCCGCTTTATTGTAACAAGTACTTCGAATTGAAATAGAACCATCATGATTTGAGATTTTCTGAACAATGACAGCAAAACTTGCAGTGAAACAGCCCTGACTCATGAATCGATCTTCACCATTATTGCTCCATGATAACGCGAGACCTCATATAAGAGGGCATTAACAGACCGTTATGACTATCAAACAATTGTGTGGAATGTGATGTCAAATGTCAAACAATTATTTTTAACAAATGTATCTTTTTTATTTGAATGGTTTTGGTAATATTTAGTATGTATCAATGATACTATGTACACATATGGACTTGTTGTTGTCTGAAATAAAATAAATCATTCATCATTCATTCATTCATACAGCACGAGAAACCGTTTTAACTCTACAGGAACTGCAATTAGAAACCATGCGTCACCCTCCGTATTCGCCAGACCTTACTCCAACGGACTACAATTTTTTTTCGTGATTTGGACAATTTTTTACGTGATAAAAAGTTTTCTTCCCAGGAGACAGTACAAAATGCTTTCACACCGTTTGTAGAATCTAGATCACAAAGGCATAAATGACTTTCTAGAGATCTTTCTATTAGATGGCAGCAATGTATAGATAAAAATGGTAGATATTTTGATTCAAAGTGAAGGTTTCACCAGGGAATAAACTGCCTATTCTATTACGGACTCATTATTGTGCCGCCCGGCACTGATGACCTTACAGCCATCAACGACTACGTCCAAAAAAAGTTACGCTGTTGCTGTCTATGGGCTCTGGAAACCATTTAATATTAGGTGTTAAAATCCAAGTGGAAAAAGATCGTTATTTTTCATTAATCTTTCAACCTTTTCGAGTAAAATCGATTTGCATGAATCTTCAGTGTTTAGACTATTGGTGTATGAAGGGTATGAGTGAGGGTTCGGTGTTGTCCTCAACAGGTGTCGGTGGTGTTCCACAGCGCGGCGACGCTCAAGTTCGACGAGGCCCTCAACAAGGCGGTGGACCAGAACGTGCGCTCCGTCTTGAGCCTCATGGACATATGCGACGGGATGCCCAACATCGAGGTGAGGAACGCACTAGCTATGTTGCAGACTGTAGCGGCGGCACCAGCCGATGTACTGTATAAACTACCTCTTTTTTTCTTTTCTATTACGCTCTACTGGGTGACCGGTAAAATAACGGGGAAAAGGTCCCAAACGATGGTCGGATAAAATAGCGGAGTAACTGAAGTTCCTGTCAGCGACGCACTCCACCAAGCTACAAAACGGGATCGATGGAGACAGCTGGTTGACGGAATCGGACGGAGTCATGACCCTCAGCAGTGAGGGACCGATCGAAGAGAGAGAGAGGGGTGTAGGGCTTGAATCAAATTCTTCCATTTGCATCGGTCTTGGGCAGTCTGTTCTAGCTCCTAAGTCACCCAGTTCCTGCTCTACTGACCGACGCCAAGTTGTTCTGGGATGGCCTCTCTTCCTTTTGCCAGACACTTTACAGATCAGTGTTCTCTTCAATAGGTACCGGGCTTTCTTAATGTGTGACCAATCGATTACCACTTCCGCGTGAGGGTCTCCCTCTCTATTGGTCCTTAGTCATTATTGATACATTGAGTTTACAAATTAAGTGTAAATTCAAAGAGCTCTCTCTACTACCCTGCTCTCTGTCCCTCGTGCCTGCCTGGCCATGGAACACTCCACAAACAATGTTTCAGTGGTTTACCTGTGGCCAAACAACGCTTGTAAATTCCATCGATTATATTATTTATGTAAGATACACATGAAACCTGTCCCAAAAACTAAAAATGTTTCGTTAGCGCCATCTACCATCGAATTTAAGGATACAAAAATGTCGTGTTCCTTTTGACGCTAGAGAGCGCTGGTCAAATCAAATTCAAATAACTCCTACTCAAAACCGTACTTTCTATAACTATAATATAAATATTCCCAGAAACGAAGGGACCACAATACTGCCCGTATTGCTGGCTACTAATACATTTCAACGCTGATTCCTAAAACACACAAAATCATTGAGCTCGCTGTCGGGCCGTTTCCACTTTGCGAGGAGCTTCACTACACTGCTGTGCATATTTGCGGACCGCAATGCTTCTCGTCGTCAGATCTAGCATCACGATCGATTCTCCAGATTGGTGTTTACACATAAACCCGGTTAATCCATATGTCATCCTTTCAGTCGGCGCGTGGAACACTGAAGTACATGGGTGGACGAGCTCACAGCCCACCTAGTGTTAAGTGGTTACTGGAGCCCATATACATCTATAACGTAAATGCGCTACCCACCTTGAGATATAAGTTCTAAGGTCTCAGAGTAGTTACAACGGCTGCCCCGCCCTTCAAACCGAAACGCATTGCTGCTTCACGGCAGAAATAGGCGGAGTGGTGGTACCTACCCGTACGGACTTACAAGAGCTCCTACCACCAGTGTTCGAACACAGAGTCCGTTGCGCAGGCGCTGGTGCACGTGTCCACTGCGTACAGCAACGCGGAGCTGTCGACAGTGGAGGAGCGCGTGTACGCGGCGCCGGTGCCGCTGCAGCAGCTGCTGGCGCTGGCCGACGCGCTGCCGGACCAGCTCGCCGCCGACCTCACGCCCAGGTACAGCGCCAGTCTCATATTCAACTAACTCAGGGAACGTGCCTCTTTCCAGCACACCTTCATTGTCAAACCAAAACCTGATATCACTAATTGGAAATTAGTTTGGATTGAATTTGAATAGCAAAAACTCAACGCCACATACATTCATTTTCTACAATCTTCAGCACATCTTTTTGTATGTACCGTTTTTATAAAATACCCAGTATTATTCTTTGCAAATAGCTGACATAGTGATGTGAAGGGCGACTAAGCGATTCACTCACAATAACGGATACCAGCGTTCTCTGAGTGCTAGATGAGGTCACCGCGACCGCTGACTGGTATGTGGTACGTGGCAGCTGGTGATAAAGCAGATTGCGAGTCTGGACAATATACGTACCACCGTTCTGCCTATTTTTGCCATATTGAAAGTATGCGTTGTGGTCCACAATGGGCACAGCCGCCGTGCCAATACAACTGAGAGCGGCGGCGGCGCGGCGGCGGCGGTCACGTTGTGATCTCCAGGGGCTCCGGGAACGACTCCAGGGGCAGGTAATAAAACCATACACTAAACCGTCTACAAATGTAAAACATGTATATCAAAGAACCACATAAAACTACCCACGTAGGTATGCATAGTTTTCGAGGTATATAAACAGATAAGAAGAAATTCAGCCGACGTGATGATGACGCTCCAATGATTGTTCTTCCGTTAAAGGTTGATAAGTCCGAAACCCAACACGTACACGTTCACGAAGGCGCTCGCGGAGAACGCAGTGGCTGAGCGGACCAACAGGAAATACCCCGTGGCCATCTTCAGACCCACGATTGGTAAGATTATCAGCTAATATATTGACTGATGCGGGGTTGATTATGGTTATAATTGTCTTATGAAAGACTCGTGTTCATTCCCAATATGTACCGAAGTGTATGTGAAAAGCGATATAACTCTGTTAACTTAGAGCTGTAAGTTGATAAGTTTCAGTGAGAGCGACACCGGACTTTTGTCCATTAAATGTGTTTGCACGGAAACAGAATGTGAGCGGAGCGTGTCCGAGGCTGGAATGATAACTGCTAATTCAAGACAATACCAATAGCCCTCCTCGATGGTCCCTTACAACCGAGGATCGCGACCCCCTCCATGCGGTTGGTTCTCCTGTCTCTCGAACTACGTACCCTGGGCCGATACCACGCCGAGGTGTTCCAAAACTCAAGGACGTTGTCAGTTACAATCAAACGCCCATAGATGTCTTGACGATTTGTGTACTTATTTCTAAAATGAACCCTTACTTCTAGTAATATCTGCTCTTCGTCATCCCTTCCCTGGTTGGATCGAGAACCTAAATGGCCCCAGCGGCGTGCTGGTAGCAGCCGGGAAGGGCTTACTGCATTTCTTCTGCTGCAAGAGGTCAGCTAAGGCGGACATGATTCCAGTGGACATAGCTATTGACACGCTGATAGCGGCCGCCTGGGAGACTGCCGTGGATAAGTATGTATGAAGCCCTATTTGTTTGAATCACAAGTGCGCGCAACCAATAACAAAGACAAATAATGTCATAAAATTCATTCAATGTTAAGTTGATCAAACACAGAAGTCACACAATCGAACCATTGTTTTCGTAAAACTGTATATTTATTTATTTTACTGGTGGTAAGACTTCTTGTGAGTCCGCACGGGTAGGTGCCACCACCCTGCCTATTTCTGCCGTGAAGCAGTAATGCGTTTCGGTTTGAAGGGCGGTGCAGCCGTTGTGACTATACTGAGAACCTTAGAACTCATATCTTAAGGTGGGTGGCGGCATTTACGTTGTAGATGTCTATGGGCTCCAGTAACCACTCAACACCAGGTAGGCTGTGAGCTCATCCACCCATCTATGCAACAAAAAAAATATTCCTGTATAAATTTGATGTAGTAAATGTAAAACTACAGATGATTAGTGGTTTTGGTTCCCAGACTGGACGAGGTTCGCGTGTACAACTGCAGCAGCGGGAGGAACTCGACCACGTGGGCGCAGTTTGAGATGGCGATCAAAAAGTTGCTGATTGAACATCCCCTGGACAAAACATATTGGTACCCGAGCGGAGCTGCCGTGGAGAACGAGTATGTCAACACACGTAGACCCCGGACTGTAGATGGCGCTGCTAGCACGTACTAGAACTTAGTACCACTTATTTACAACACGAGCGAATTAGCCCACAGACACAGCCCACCGAGTTTCTCGCCGGATCTTCTTAGTGGGTCGCGTTTTTGATCCGGGGGTAGATTCTGCGAAGCACTGCTCTTACTAGGGCCAGTGTTAGCACCACTCCGGTTTGAGCCCGTGAGCTCACCTACACACGTTAAGGCGAAGCTGAAATAGCCTCGCAAGGCTATCAGCATAGTAGGAAAAAAAAAATGAGTTGTTTATGTCATTGGTGATGTTGAAGGACATCTTTAACCACTTTTCATCGGGTGCGCCGCATGATCAGGTGTGGATATCTGATGTTCAGATTTCCCGTCACAGCCACAGATGTAAATAGTCACGAAACTTAGTGCTGTTCTGTTAACGATACCCGTTTTTAAATATTGATATTTCATCTAAATTAACTCGTACTGCTTTTCTTTACAGATATCTTCTTAATATATTGCAGTTAATAACACAGACGATCCCGTTACATTTGGCGGAGTATTGTTCTCGAATGATCGGAATTAAATCAAGGTATGTTTAAAATGTTCTATTGCTCAATAGGCGCGCGGGGCGGGCGCGGGGTGGTAGTTCGTTGTTCTATTATTTTGTCGTGTTGATAAGTTAAATAGTTTAATTTCCCTTTCAGATTAAGTTTAATTACCATTAGCGAACGTCTCCAGGGAATGTGTAAGGTGCTAACGTTCTTTTCGATGCGCGAGTGGGATTTCAAGTCCGACAATGTCCGGAAATTGCAAGCCAGACTATCTCCACAGGACGCACTGATCTACAATCTGGACCCGAATACAATAGAGTGAGTAACGTCCGGCAATAAGTTCCGGATATCCATGGCTTTCGTAACCATTTATATAATCAGGTGGACCCGTCTCAGAAATAACACATAAATCTAAACATGTAGTTAAATGAGTAGTTTGGATTTAATTAATTAATCTATACTAATATTATAAAGAGGAAAGATTTGTTTGTTTGTTTGTATTGAATAGGCTCCGAAACTAATGAACCGATTTGAAAAATCCTTTCACTCTTTGGAAGCTACACTATTCCCGAATGACATAGGCTTCTTCCCCATCCCTAAACTGTTTTGAAAAAAATTAGGGATACTTACTAAAAGTCTAATAAAGTAACCCAAGTGGTAAAAAAATTACTTAATATATTCTTTACATTGCGTGCCCTGCGAAAACTATTCATGATAGAATAAAATAATGTACTACGACTTTGTAGAACACATTATTTACAAAAAGTGTCGCGACAGCATATGTCTATTATAGTTCGCAATAAGAGTTATTTTACTATTATAGTTATACCGCAATAAGTGTTCTTTTATTTAATAAAATAAAACAACGTCAAATATCGTTGAAATTTTTGTTAAAGACCCGAGCGGAGCCCGAGCGGGCCGCTTGTTAAATTTAAATAGATGAATATACACTGGGCTCGAAAACAAGAGCAATCGAGAATTTACGTGTTTACGACGCAGCTAATAAAATACTTAGATTAAAATTAACAAAACACAAAAATGTTCTCTTTATTTACGATTGATGGACGAGCTGGCAGCCCCCGAATGGGGGGTGACGCGAGATACACTTACTTAAATAAAACTATCAAATATTAAAATAACGCACGCAAATTGTGACGATTTATTATTACATTTTTTTTATTTGATTAAAAAATGTATCTCGAAGCTTAATCTTCAGCTCTCTAAAACTTAAGCTAGAGTAGCATCACAAAACCCGAGTGAAACTGGAGGTCACGACTAGTGCCAAAAAGAAACTGATAAATCTGGATAGATTACAGCTTGGAGAAGGCCGGTGAAATAAACATAGCCACTCCTTTTCTCGCCATTTTATCTATCTGCAATAGTCAACTTAAGTACGGACCGAACCACATAAAATATCAAAGGGTGATATTTCGGCCCTAGTGTTAGGTCCCCTGAGGCGATACAGGGAGGATGCGACTGGATGTGGGAGGGTGTGGGAGGGTGCGGGAGGGTGCTGGTCTCCGGTCGGACTACATTTATTGTTTTTGTTACAGCTGGGACGCTCTGTACGTAGACTTCGTGAAAGGAACAAGGAAATATCTGCTGAAAGAAAAAGACCAGGACATTGACGAGGCCAAGCGACATTTGCGCAAGTAAATATCTGTTAGATGGGATCTGAATGCACGATCTTAGAATGCAACTCCACGCGTGTGGCCACTGTGCCAGCGGGGGGCGCTCTGGATAGATGTTCGCAACATCATTGTACTGTGGAATAAGGAGACATTTTAAAAAGTGAAGGAGGAAATGATAACTAAATTTCAACGGGCTTTGTGATACTCATGTTCCTTTTTATTTGTTATCGCATACACGGGTGAACGAGGTCACGGCCCGTCTGCTCTTAAGTGCCTACCGTGTAGCTATCGCCAGCTCTCCCGAGACATGAGATTTAAGACTCTATTTTATAGTACATAATTTTATAATAGGTGCTGCAGCTCGGTGGTACTTACAAGACGCTCTACATCCAGTAGCAATGGATATTGCGCGTTTATTGTTGTCACACAACGTTATATGTTTACCAGTAGGGTGGAAGTCTTTCGCGAACGGGTGTTAAATTCGTAGTTTTCGGACCGCGGCGAGGCAACACAAAGCCGCCATCGCCCGAAAGAAGTCTTGTCGTAATCCGCGGATTCACTCTCGATGCTTTTAGGCCTCTCAAGCACCGGTCACCGTCCTCGTCGAACTCGTCGATTACGATGAAGTGTTCGACAAGCGAAATAACCCATAGAGTTTATTGCCGAATCTTCTCAGTGGGTCGCGATTCCGATCCGGTGGTAGATTCCGCGAAGCACTGCTAGTGCTAGCAAATTCTCTCAGGTTGAGCCCGTGAGCTGGCTTACCCGCGCGTAACTGGAATAGCCTCTTAGGCTACCAGCGAACAGGTAGGGGAAAAAGTTCGTACTTCACTAGAGCAGTCGGTACCTGGCCGCGGGACTCCAACACCGGCACAGTAACAGCTTATATTGATACACATAGTTGTTGTAGCATTATAACATTATTCCGTCAGTGGCTGATCTAGTTGTAAGATCCCGTGGGTCTGCTCCACCACAGAGCCATCAGGCGGGTCATGGAGGGGCGGCAGCAGCGCGCAGTCTAGTGACTGTCACAATAAAGTAATTGGTTCGACAGGATGTTCTACGTCCACAACGGCTTCCTGGTGTTCGTGACGGCGCTGCTGCTGCGGCTATCGCTGCACGCGCCCCTGGTCCGCAGCCTCGTGCTGGGCACTCTCCGGCTGCTGTTCACGATCGTCAGCTCCACGTACTCGCGCGTCTCTTCGTAGTTGACCAAGACAACCTTTTTAACTGTTATTTATTAAATAAAAATTTTAGATAAACTGTGATGGAGCGCGTCTGGAACTATAATGGATGACAACGATGAGTCCAACTTAATAGAGCCATGTGTGGCCCTTCATAAACTGATAAATCTGTTTCTACTTCATAGATAGACTAATGTTTAAGAGTTGTCGCGACGTGTGCGGCTAGTTCGAGTATCTGGCGGTAATGTACGCGTCATCATCTCATCTTACTAATCTGGAGATTGTATTGTGTCAAGTACGAGCTGTGTGACACAACTCCATGTACATTATGGTACCGTAAAATGGGGCGATTAGGGACAAATTCCAACTTTATGAGCAATTTTAAGGTAGTTGTTGATGTATATAATGCTATATCAGGATCAAAATGATTGAGTCTTGGGGGCATCTTTGTTGTCTAATTTAAAATGATGCAACTAGCATTCCAGTTTAAGCAAAAAATGCAAAAATAGGTGTAATCCCTATTTACCCGAAAATTGCGGTTAATTGGGACGAAATGAGAAATTTGCTAGGGTTGGCACTACTTTTATTTTTATATATAGTTTTAATTTATTTATTTATTTAGTTGCACCAACAAAGTGATCATCAATAAAAAAAATTGAAAAACTGACAAAAGTACATGGCAGACATCACCTCAATTATAGGTGCAATCGACAGTGCTGATATTTCTATCTGGGTTAAGAGATTAGGTGTGTCGGTTATTCCATGGATTAATCAGATGAATACCCCCACTCTGAACAAATATTAAATATTTTATTATGTATTACTTAGACATTTTTGTCCACCTTGAGATTTCATTGATCTTGTTACATGTCTCTGCAAAATCGACTTACTTATATTAAATTGCTTATCTATTTCAACTAAAGACTTATTCCCAATTTCGCTTCGAATAAACCAGATTTTTACCAACAAATTTAAAAAATATTGTTATAACTACATAGACAACCCTACAAACCTGTACCTATTTATACTTAGGTCGTTTCCATTTCACGTATTCTCATCCCAATTGACCCCTTTTTCGTTGTTATTTGTACCTAAGACGTCCCCAATATCCCCAAAAACAACAGATTTTTACATGTATTTTTATTTAATCAAATACATTAAAACCAATAACAACTGAGACTTACCTTTAATATATATGCTGGTTCAAACACTAAATAACGTTTATAAATCATAGTCGTCTTCTATTATTATCAAATAAATAAAAGAGAGCAAAGTTTCTAGCACTAAAATAATTACCACCACAGGAAGTTAATTTGAAACGCGATTTTTTATAAGTTAGCAGCTATTATCATGCATATTCAGAGTTGTTTTGTGAACTTTCAACATTCTACTATTAAACTACAAAAAATGGAAGATTTTGCAACGAATATAAAACTTATATTGAGCGTCGAAAGATTTTCCCGGTTTTTTCCCGATTCGCCTCTCAATCCCTAATCGCCCCATTTTACCGGTACGCTATTTCTTGTACTTAGGTGAGAATAAAAAAAAAATAAGACGTCAGAACTTGGAAAGGCTTAATGGCGCGAAAATTACTTTTTAAGGTTATGTTTTTATTATGCTCAAGTTTGTATATCAATATGTTAATGGTTGCAAAAAACAATTTGATGCCTTTATGTTTAAAACATCTTTAAAATTGAAAACAAATTCTTTTTCATTGTTGCAAAGTTTTTGTTTTCTTGTAACCGTTTTTCTAAGAACAATAAAATTGTCTTAAGTTGTTACTTTTAATACATGGTATTTAATTCATAATTATTGTGAAATTAATATTAAGTCTAACATGTGAGTTGATGTATGTAATTGCAAAGTCAATTACTCTGTATGTTTTTGTGTTGGGAACTGCTCAAATTTAAGCTCGCGTCACAATATAAAAATTAGCATTACTTTAATGAGTAGGTACGGCTAAGTACACAAAAATGTGATAGTAGTAAATAATTTTACATGAGTCCCTTTAATAAAATTATCATTACCTATTTATTTGTTGAATATAAAAAAAAAAACGTAGGTAAATAATAAAAAAAGTGCGTGCGTACAAAGTACACATGTCAGAAGTGAAACTTTTTTGGCGAACTAATTTATAAATCTTGCTTATAATTATACAAATCTAAAACTTTAGATTTCCGAGACTTAGAGGAAGGGAAAAAGGAAGATATGTTCCCGCCAAAAGTCTGTCAAATGTCAATATCAAACCTCAGTGTTGACAGTCACATTAAGTTTAGATTTCTAAATTGTAAATGACTAATATTTTGCCAATTGAATTGACTCATTTAATTTTATGCTATTTGATTAATGTTCCAAATTCTTTTCATTTCATTTCAATTCCTATTAACATTTTTCACAAAAAGATTATAAAATATTAGGCTGTATGGTATGATACATTTGCCTTTCCAGTTGGAAAAATACAACAACTGCTACTACTGACATTTCACAAGTACTTAATTTCAATAGTAGTTTGATGTCACTTCCGTTGCATACCTGCGTGACGTTCTGTAAAAATTTTACCCTCGTGCGCCTAAAGAAGTTTCACTTCAATAATAGTAATATTACTATTACTATTTTCACTCTGGAGCCGTAACCACTGGTGCCTTGTGTCGTAGACACCGCCATCGGATGCAATCGTAATCTATTTTTTATATTGTATTTTTATTTAAAAAAAACAACTTATATATGTATGTATTGTATATACTTAGGTACCGTATGTGATAAGATTTCAATAAATTTAGTATAATAATAATTATACGAATGTTGCCAGTAACAAAGTATTCCTTTGCTCAATTTGTTTTTACTAATTGTGGGTTATGGATCCTGCTTAGAAAAATAAAATAATAAATTTAAGGTTTAAGAATAATTTGTATGTTGGTATTCAATACTTTTAAAGAAATGGTGATGTATTGATTTAAGATAAACTACTTTTACTTATAACGGTCTTTTTATTTTCCAACAAAAATCATATTATTGTAGAGTGGAAAGGCTATAGACGACCAGTCTCTGATGCTAACCAGACTGACACCCCACACGGTTCGAAACCACAAACCACTTCACCTTATGGTTTTTCAGGAGATATCGCTATTGTCGATCAAACAAATACACACTACACAGCTGTGACAAGGCACCTAGAGACACTCATGCACGTGGAATGCCAGCTTTCGGATTGATGAAGCGGCACAAGCTATGGATTCCAAATCGCATGGCAAGAAGGACTTTTTTGTCATGGTGCCAAAATTCCAAGAAGTACCTCAGCAACTTTCCGAGGGTGCTTGTATTCTTGGGGTCGATGTCTATTTCTCAGTAGTTGACTGTCACTTGGCTGTGTCGTATCGACACTGATGTCCATAAGCGACAGTATGTAACTAACCATCAGGAGGGATGTATTCTCGTCTGCCTACAAAGACAAATAAAAAAAATTAGAAAAGAAATACCGGAGCGATAAACGAATGTTGATGCTCTTAAATTTAAGAAATTAAGACTAATTTAGCTCAATCAAGCTAATGTTAAAACAAATACATATTTATAATATACAAAATGTAGAACAGTTATTAACACTTTTTAACGGATATGCGAGGAGCGAAGCTACTTAAAGTGTTCCCTTTTATATATATGTATAAGCGCTTAGCTTGGCACATGAGAAAGTGTAATAAAAGGCTTTTAATTAGTTACGAAATTTAATATTGAGCTGTATGATATGATACCTTCGCCTTTCTTGTTTTAAATAATGGAACTACTAACCAGTGGTGCCAGGTGCACTGTAATTGCAGTAGATTCACTGTAATTTTAATGTCTACTATTTTGCAGAAATACAATGTATGTAAAACACTATGATGAATTTCAAGTTAAAAACGGCGTTAAACAAAATGCACTGTGCGACCAAAGCACGTGAGCATAAGCAATGATAGGGAAAGTCTCACAAAACTTTCTTTCAGTTGTATGAATGGTATCTCTGAGACTTTACTGGGTAATGGCCTAAACTTTGTAGATAATTATTTCTCGACAAGACTTATATTTAAGTGTTTTGTATTCTCTTTGTGTACTTTAGATTCGATGTGGAATATTGCGGTTAATAGTACTGTGTAATTCTAGTCTATTAGTAGTTTAGTTCCTTAAGCATTTCAGTCATGTCATGTTATATCATATTGTTAAGTTAATCAAAATATCTGAAAGAAGTTCGAGAAAATGAAGATGAAAGACCCTCTACGCTTAAAAGAAAAAAATATATAATAATATAAGAACCAATTTCGCAATGAGTAGTTACGACATGAGAATTTAAAAAAGTTGTTGCGACGTGATTCTAAATAATACTAAATATCCATGTCATGCTGCATCTCGTATGATATATCAACGATTGCTGATATTGGAGTATTGCAACATCTATTTTTTTTCTTATCCCTACCTATTCGCTGGTAGGCCAGAGGGCTATTCCAGCAACGCGCCGATGAGTAGGCGATTTCACGAGCTCAATCTGAGAGAATAGTTTGCCCTAGCAAGAGCAGTGCTTAGCAGAATCTGCTACCAGATCGGAATCGCGACCCAGTGAGAAGATCCGGCGAGAAATTTAGTCGTGACATTCGTCGAGCTCGGAGGACGGTATCCGGCATTTGAGGACTTAAAAGCACCGAGAGTGGATCCGGGGGATCTGACAAGATATGCTTCGGGCGACGGCGGTTTAGCGTTGCCCCATCGCCTGCGAATACGTAATTAGCGGCGGCCACGATAACAGGATTACCGTGTCACGCCGCTAAACGCCTATTTCTAAATCTCAATCTTATATTGCCAGTGTATTTAAAAAGACGTCAATATCTTTAGAAAGTACACAAAATTGCGGAAATGAAGTTATCAACTTTTGTGATTGAGCACAATATCTCATAGGGTCATGGATCATCTAGACGAGTTATTGCTGACGATATTCACAGATTCTGAGACTTAAAACAAAACTTTTGTTTGCGTTTGGAAAGCAGAATTTATCTATAGACTAGCTGACCCGGCAGACTTCGTAGTGCCTCAGTGCAGTAGTGCAGTACATATCGATATTCGCTGTGCTACCCATCGTTCGTGTCAGTGCTTTACTACTCCTATATGTTAGTTTTTTATCGTACCACTCTTGACTCTTGTTATAGTTTGTTTGTGTACATACTTATCTTCAATAAAGTATTCAAAGCAGTACATATTTATACTCACTGTGTAAAACATCCTACGTGTCAGCGCCAACCTAATACAGTTAGAAGCAGCACTAATACAACTTCATCTACAACCATTATAAATGTGATTTTTAGAATACATTAAAGTATTTTCATTCCCTGTAAAATCACAGTATTTTTCTAAAAGGTTTACTGTATTTATATTTAAACAACACTGTATATTTACAAATCTGATCTGGCAGCACTGCTACTAACTGTCAAATTAAGCAATTATTGTGCATTACATGATTACAATCAAAGAGTAAAGTGATTTATGATTACAATGGAGTTTATCTGTTAATATCTACAAAAATGTTCAACAAAGTTTTCCAACGCGCACTAAAATTTCGATTGAAAAAGACTTATCCTACGAACATCTATGATCTGTCTCGGGGCTCTGCTGTGGCTGTGAAGCGGCCGTACAGCGACGAAGTCCGCAGAGCACACGAAACGACCACTACGATCGGGCCCACAATATTCGACAAGATCATATCTAAGGAGATCAGAGCCGATATCATATACGAAGATGATTTATGTCTTGCTTTTAACGACATAGCACCGCAGGCGCCAGTACATTTTCTTGTTATTCCAAAGCGTAGAATAGCAAGGTTGCAGGATGCGGAGAACAACGACAACGAGGTACATATTATTATATTCACCCTATTCATGTTAGCCGACCTGTGCGTATATCGATATGAATCATTGTAGCCAAACATTTAGTTTCCACTCGCCTGTGGACTTAAAACTAATTTGAGATGCAAGCTACACTCAATTGTAAACTAAAAGACATCAATAAATGTATGTATGATGCGAGCTTAACTCGTACAGAGTTTGTTTAATTATAAGTTTTGTTCTTACAAACTAATACATTGTGCACACACACATATTCAGTGTTAGTTGTATGAAAATAACCTGCCAAACTTTATTTAATTAACTGTTATATTGAAACATAAATGTTAAAGATTACATTCAAAACTCTTAAAATATTCTTTTAAAGATGAGGAATAAAAATTTGATAAAATTTGATCACACAATGTTATTTCTTAATCTTAAAGTTCATAGCATAATTACAGTGGTACGACATGAGTAATCAGTATGGAACTCGTATGTGTAAACTTTCTTATCAAAGTCTTGTTTAACTGATAAGATGAATGCTTATTAAATGCATAATGTTGTCTTCATGATTAAATTTCTTTATCATCTTGGTTTTTAATTCAGCTCAGAGATATTTTGCTTTTGAATATGAGTTATTAAAATTAATCTTTTATGTTTCTGGCTGACTATGTTATGCTTTTTACTATGCTGCCTTATTGATATTTTAAAGATTGTTGTAAAGGTTTGAATTCAGAAATGTATGGATTTTGTCCATACATATTTTATAATGACTAGGGTTAATGATGAAATGATCCAGATTATCTCCCCCGGACAATAGACTTCTGAAACATCATTAATATTTATAGAATTATACCAAATCAATGCAGCTAAAAATAAATGATGATAAGAAAATTTCCTCAATCATCAGCTTTCAATACTCACTCAGGGTCCATATTATTGTTTTAAAAGTTTTACATTTGGCTTCTGTTTCACCTTTTTCTTGTCTGTTTGTGTCCAATACTAAATTAATTCTTTCAATTGTGCTTCTTGCACATTGGCTGTATAAGCATTAGTTCGAAATATTGTCAATAGATAGCACTCCCATGCAAGTTACCTCACGGTGACTAGAATGCACAGTTTTACGGAGATAGATCAACGTTCATAGTCGTCGTGGCCTAAAGGATAAGACGTCCGGTGCATTCGTGTTGAACTATATGCACCGGTGTTCGAATCCCGCAGGCGAGTACCAATTTTTCTAATAAAATACGTACTTAACAAATGTTCACGATTGACTTCCACGATGAAGGAATAACATCGTGTAATAAAAAATCAAACCCGCAAAATTATAATTTGCGTAAATACTGGTGGTAGGACCTCTGGTGAGTCCGCACGAGTAGGTACCACCTCCCTGCCTATTTCAGCCGTGAAGCAGTAATGCGTTTCGGTTTGAAGGGTGGGGCAGCCGTTGTAACTATACTGAGACCTTAGAACTTATATCTCAAGGTGGGTGGCGCATTTACGTTGTAGATGTCTATGGGCTCAACTAAGCAATAAAAAAAAAAAAAAAACGTTAATGAATAATGACTGGTTTTACTTACACCTTTTTTTATTTTTTTATTGCATTGATGCAATTACACCTTCACTAGTACAATGATAAACAGTACATGTGTGTAAAATTTTAGCTGTTCAATGTGCAATACTTTACATTTGATTGTTAGCTCTAGGTTGTTGTGTTCATAAATAATTATTTGTAATAATTTAAGAAGTGTAAACGGTATATTATCATTAATAATATTTATTTACTTAGCAAATAAAAATATATATTTTGTTGTAAATTGCATAATATTCTTAATTTGTTCTGTAGTTATCTGAAAGAAATTGTTTTGAGCAAAAAGACTGCTTATTAAATCATTAATACATAAATGGAATATTCTAAGTCATTAAAACAATAAAAAAAACAAAATGTGTGCAATTCACACGTGGTAGAAGTGAAACCTTCCAAAATTAAAATACAATTATCCTAAATGTCTTAAGTATATGTAAAATTTTGTCATTAGTAAATAATTGTAAGGTAGCGCCCTCTGTGAATTGATATTTTAATTTCACATATAATCCTAAATTAAAATTCACTACAAGAGCTTTCATACACACGTTAGTATTAAAAAATCTCACAGATGGCGCTGTATTAAATAGTATGTATATTTCTGTCTCATTCTTTGCTGGCTTCATCCNTTCACTACAAGAGCTTTCATACACACGTTAGTATTAAAAAATCTCACAGATGGCGCTGTATTAAATAGTATGTATATTTCTGTCTCATTCTTTGCTGGCTTCATCCTACACATTTTTGTATTTGTGTCTCTTACCTGTCGTTTTTTCCGTTGCATCCGGTTTGAAATCACAACGATTCTAAAGAAGTTTTCACTTCAATAAAATAATTAATTGCGTTTTCTGTACAATATTAAGAAAACAACATTTAAAGCCTTTATTTTCCACAAAGTATTCTTAAATTAAATAAAACTGAACTCGTATTTTTTCTCAATGACAGAGTTCAGTCAATCTATATAAGAAAAAAAATATTTTTTTTAAACTACAAAGGTTTTACAAGTATATTAAAGTTTCATAAAAATGTTTTTTTTTTACTTAGATATTTTATTATTTGCTACTTTAACTTGATTTCTTATCATTTAACTCCACAGCTGCTAGGTCACTTGATGCTGGTAGCCCGGTCACTCGGTGCCCAAAGAGCTCCTTCAGGATGGCGTCTTGTGGTTAACAATGGCAAAGACGGAGCTCAAAGTGTTTATCATCTACACCTTCATGTTCTGGGTGGAAGACAGATGGGCTGGCCACCTGGGTAAGCTATATTAATTGCTGTAAACTCTGGCTGAAAAAGATGCATAAAATTGGGTGTTTTCTATTATTTAACCCCTTTTTAATATGAAATTATAATTCACTGTTTTCAAGATGAAACCAGTCCCTCTCAGTCTACATTAAACATGATTACTGTGCAACATATTATCATGTTGTTTGTTGTTCTAATGCTGAGTGAAAGAAAGACAAACAACATACACAATGACAGCTATAAATATATTGTATACGTCACTGATGTGTGTCAATATTCAATATGATACCTGTTATACTAATGAGACTTATGAATTATATAATTCTCATACTAGGTACTAAATAACAAGGTGTAATTTGGTAAACTTTGATTTGTTCCTTTTGTTTTGCAAAAAGATTTAAATTAATAATTTGATTTTCACATGAAATCAAATCCCAAATTTTTTCTCATACTTTTTGAGCATTTGTTCTGCATTTTGGTATCAATTTTTCAGATGAACATTTTCTGAAAACAATATATATATATGTTTGTTATTCTTAACTTACTTCCTTGTTTCACTGATTTGTTTATTTTAGAAACAAGCACTGCAATTTAATGCAAACAATGGGCTAGACCTAGTCATTAAGAGAAAAAAGTTTTTTATAAACTATAATAACATAACAAGCAGAAGATCAAGTGTATATAAGCTCAAAATAACATTTGTAATGAAATGAAACAAATGTATCACAGATAAAGAAATGAGAATATATTAATTTCTGTATTAGAACGTCATGTTTTTTCCCTTTTTTTCCCTTTGAAATATTAGAATTTCTGGTTCTAAAGAACTAGATTCACAATAGTTTGCATTAAACAATCTGTAATTATTTTTTCAGTCAGAGTTTTGTTATTTTTGTGTCATATGAATACCAATGTCTATTTTGTTATTATTACTGAAATAACATAAAGTGCAATTGTTATTGGCCAAATTAATTATTTAGAATAGAATTTTTTATTATTTTCTAATGTAAACTAAATTAGGGCTTGCATTATATTTTTAAAAACGTGAGCGTTTTTTTTTTGTGATTAATTAATGAATAAAGGACATGAGTCATGCTCTCACCATATAGCATTGTTGTCCATGCCACCATTGCGTTCATCCACAATGCACATCCAGATTTATTTTTTCAAATAATGTATAAGGAAGGGTCTGAAGTGAGTTGCGCATTGGAAATTCAGGCGAACCCGAATGACATTGTTGTTGGTAATGCCTTGAAATGAAAAATAAATAAAAAAGCGCTTGCAGTTCTCATGTCTGATGATCATGATGGTCACGAAATGTGTATTGAAACGTAATACCGTGGTTTGTAGCAGTGCGTTCTGTCGTTTTATTGACAATACGTATATCCAAAACGTTTCAAAACAGCTAAAAGCATTAAAACTGACAAGAAATCAAATTGCACCTTACAGTCACTTTTTTATTTTTATAAGAATAAAAATAAAATCCTTCCTCCTTAATTATACAAAATTTCTAGTCACTTTATCAATAGGTGTCACGGTCCGCTGTGACAAACAAACAATCTCACACGTTTCATTGCGCTCGTTGCACCTCGCGCGCGTCGACCGATGTACAATAAGCGGCTGGCTCCGTGTCAGAGAACGAGTCAAGATCTTTGTAACTACAACTGCTCAGTTTCAACTCGATCGATTAATAGATGCGCGACCAGACTGTCTCTCTGTTACACTTAAAATGACATAAATACGTCCACAGAAACGGATCTTTTGAAATCTGAAAATAGAAAGTCTATTTTCTCAATGTAAGTTAAATTAGTAAAGTCTTCCATGATCTGAAATTGGATCTAATTAAATAAAGACTAGCTATAAAGTAGATGTCATATATAATAGAACATTTTTAAATTGTCAAAAGAGGCGGCTAAGTTCCGCCAACTTTCTTGCTTCGATGCATTCATCCGTTCCGGCTTGAGGAGCCGGGAGCGAGGAGTACAGATAATGAAATACAATTCGTTTTGTGTTGTAAGTTTTACATTTCTTTCTTAGCAACCAACGCGTTTGTTGCCGACAGTCCGGTCCGAGTACCCATGTCCGTATCTAAATAGTAAATGTATTAAATAGTATTAAATAAGCTATGGAATGAACTTTGGTTGCCGTAGTTAGAATTCCACCATAGATAATAAATACACTTAAAATTCCACGCCGTTCCTACAGAATTATACACGATATAAAAAACATACAGCCGTGTAGAGTAACATTATTTACACTCTGGAAAAAAATACGACCGTTCATAAAAATAACATTAAATAGTGTTAAAATATCTAGTCATCATTAATATTCAAATGAATAGAACAATTAGAATTATTTAAAATAAAATAAGAGATTACTGGCCGGCCCAGACAAGTTTGCTACAAATATTTTTTATTATCTGAATAACGATAGAACACACTTCAAACTGTGGTATTAGTTTTAATAAACTTGAATCAATTGTTTTATGTTATGTGATTCGATAATATGAAAACATATTATCGGTTAATATTACGTTACGATCCATGTTTATGTTTACCTTGTTTAAGTATCGGTTGAGGGTAAGATCGCGTTATTGTTCTCTCGGTTTTTGAAATGAAAATACAAGTAGGAAGTCTGACGCGACCCTAGTACATGTTAAGAGTTTAAGTTATTTTAAATTCTGTAAACGAAATATTTTTGGAAATATACTATTGAAATTTATAGGAGTGTTTTTATTGTACCAATGTCATTAATATCGTGTGGTAATCCAAGGCCTCGAGTTATAGCGAGCGGAGACGTCACGACTATACATGTCTTCCTTCACACACGGATCGCTAATATCAAACCTAGACCACTTAGTGAACTTATGTAACTTGGTGAGAAAATATATTGCGGTTATGAAAGTTGTTTTCAAAAAGGTTCTCGATAAAATCTCATTCAAGGTAGAAATTTCATAATGATTACCAGTAGCACGTCCCGTGTGGGTGTTGGCGTAGGTACTGCCGGCCGCTGGGGCACGGTGTGAGGCGCCTTGTCTATCTCAATGTCTACAGAACGTACACAAATGTTCCTAAAATAAATCCGGCAGGAATTAGGCGATCAACTCGAACACTAATAAATAAAACTTCCAGTACAGTACAAAAATATACTTTTATTTAATAACAATATGGCGAAGCATAGAGCATTGGGGAGGCGCACGGGGCTGCGTACATGGGCGGGGGCGACAGCAGCAGCGGGGCACTGGCGTACGAGCACGGGGACGCACAAGAGCACGGGGACGCACAGCACAGCGGCACGGAGCACGGCACGGCCGCCTCCAGCAGCGGCCCGGCCGCCGTCAGCACCGACGTCAGGACCGTGGGCAGCGCCGCCTCGAGCAGCGGCGGTAAGCTCGCTACGATCGAAGCGGAGATGGTGTTAGCCAGGGTGGGAGCCAAGGCGGGCAGAACGGGAGCTAGGGCCGCCAGCGCGGCGCAGGGGGGAGGAGGCGTGCAGGTCGCGGGGGCTGGCAGAACTAGCGGGGCGGAGGGGCAACAACAGGCGCGGGGGTAAGCGGTCGCATGCTGTGAACATAATTATTAGTGTTTAAAAAAAAACACATACATACAATACCAACATCGCGAGATGTTCCCAACAAGAACTACAGGCAATAGTCACTATCAGAACTCTTTCATGGAACCAAATTGGATGGATTTAATATTGTACTATCATCGGAAGTACCCTACCGTTGCCAAGTTTCATAACGATAAAGCAGATTCTGATTGGATCCCATGAGCACTCCGCGGACAGTCCCCGCGGGGGGATCGCTTTATCACTGTACATAATTGATACACACACATTTGTACATATTTTTTAAAGCTATATTTAATGAAGCGTTTTCAAAAAGTAATTGCAGTTTCCGTCGACTGCAGCAGTCGTAGCACGTTTTTTTATTTATTTTTTTTTATTTTTTTTCTTATGATTGAAGGATTACTGGTGGCCCGGAGGCCTTTCCAGTTTCACCAGGACAGGTGGGCGAGCAAAGGCTCAGCCAGGAGGGGTGGGATTTGCTAACAGCTACCCGAGCGCCTCCGAAGGAGACCTAACAGCTCAAGAGCAGCTGCTTCGCGAATGAATCTACTACCGGATCGGAATCGCGACCCGCTGAGAAGATCC